CTGCATGCCCAGGGTTGAGTCGGGCCTGCCCCTCTACAGGAGGAATAGTTTTAACATTTTTGTTTAAAGAAAAGTATGGGAACTATTCAAAGGTAGTCAAACATAACCAGAAATAGCCCTATTCAAAAGTAGTAAAAAATCGCATGGGGACTATTATTTAGCCATGTTTGAGTATTGTACGGTATTGTTTGACCTTTTTTTTATTTTTCGTCTAAAATCCCCTTGTTGGGGCACAGGTCCGACTTAAGCCCAGGGGAAGGAGTCGCTCCTTCTGACCAGTGTGAGGGCCTCTCGAAGTGAAGGGCACCAGAACGGCGCCGAAAAACGCGTCTGATGCTGCGCTCCATTGCCTGCTCCCTGCTGCTGCACATGCTGGCATGCTGAGCGGGGAAAAGAAAGGGAAGAGACTGCAGCGCACGGTGCGTCAATATTCCCGGAAGACAGCTCACATGCACTGCGTGGAGTGCACTTCACACGAGGAGGAGGAGCGGCATCGGCAATCTGAGGCACCTGTGGCAACAGCAGCAGGGGGAGCAGGTGGAGGGGGAGGACGTGGGAGGAAGAATAGGAGAGTGAGCAGGGGAGGGTGGAAGGATACACATGCACGAGGACAGGAGTGATTCATGAGTGGCCTTGCGCTTGATGTTTTCTTTCCACTTCTCTGATCGTTGCGTGCAGGTCCCGTCGCCTTTGCACTCATCGGACAGGGACGCCGTCGTGCGTCCATGCGTTGTTTCTGTGCCGTTGTGCACATGTGGTACCGGTTGTTTGTAATACATCTCATTGGTGTTGCCCGAGTCCTGTCTAAACGCAACCGTGCCACCATCCCAGGTAGTGTCTGGGGTGAACTATGACTTCACGTTCTCCGACGGCACGGTCGTAGCCTGAGCACGTCTTTCTGGCGACTCCATCTATGTGCTCCGAGTTGATTGTCAAGACGATTGAACAGGGAGGAGAAGCACGAGGATGTGGATGATGCTGTCGCTGCTGCTGATGCTGATGACGACGATGAGAGCGAGGACGATGGAGATGAGGACTGGGATGATAATCAGTATGAGGATGAAGAGCATGACGACGGTGATGACGATGATGCTGATGATGATGATTTGGATGACGATGGCGGTGGTGATGATGATGATGCTGATGATGAGTATGATGTTGATGATGAGTATCATGGTGATGGTGATGATGATGCTTGTCATGATGGTGCTACTGATGCTGATGATGCCGATGATGATGGTGATGATGATGAGGATTGTGACGATGGTGATGCTGATTAGTACGATGACGATGACGATGATGATCATGATGATGTTTATGCTGCTGCTTCTGATGATGTGATGATGTTGATGATGATGACGGTCACGGTGATGACGATGGTTATAATGATGCTGATGAGGATGAGGATGAGGTTGAGGATGAGGATTCTGTTCACGATGATGATGACGATGATGATGATGATTATTATTATGACGGTGACGCTCGCTGATGCTGATGATGACGCCGATGATCATCCTTATGCTGCTGTTGATGCTGATGTTGCTGGTGAATATGATCATGACAATGACGACGATGATGATTGTGTTGATGATTGATGATGATGATGATGATGATGATGATGATGATGATGATGATGATGATGATGATGATGATGATGATGATGATGATGATGATGATGATGATGATGATGATGATGATGATGATGATGATGATGATGATGATGTGATGCTGATGCTGATGCTGATGCTGATGCTGATGCTGGTGCTGATGATGATGATGATGATGATGATGATGATGATGATGATGATGATGATGATGATGCGATACTGATGATGGTGATGATCGTCTTAAAATGATGAGCGCACTCGGGGCAGTCGGCTTTTGGGTGTTCGCCTGTTCTGTCCATCATAGCGCCCGAGGATCCCTCGTTTCGGTCGTGGTGATGGTTTAAGAATCGTTGCCGCGAAGCAGGCGATCGGCTCGCGTGCGTTTGCTTGTTCGACCCCCGTGCGTGCGCCCGTGCGTCGCAGCAGTCCACGAGATGGCCATTTGCACTGTCGCGGCGATGGTCGGGCCAGCACGCCGCGGGCCTGTGACGGGCGAGCCGAGACTGAGGGCGCCATCGAGGCGTTATGCTTTTCGTATGCGTGTGTGGGTGTGCGCCCTCCGCGCGCGCCCGTCTCCACCCTCCGCAGCTTGCCTGACTCTGCCGCGTGGCCGCGCGCGAGGCCGCGGGGCCAAAAAGGGTGGGCGTGTCGCAGATGTCTTCCTCCTCCTCCCCTTCCCAATCCTCTTCCCTGTCTTCCCTCCCTCCTCGCTA